AACACAGAATGCAGTAGCAGAGAGAAAAAATTGGCATCTTTTAGAGATATCTCGGAACATGATGATGGCAATGAATGTCCCACAACACTTATGGGGGCAAACAGTGTTGACAGTCGATCATATGATTAACAGGATGCCCTCAAGAGCGTTGGAGTAGAAGCCTCCTTGTCAAATTTTGAAAGATCATTTCATTAAAGGCATTTGGATGTATATGCTTTGTGAAAGATAACAGACCCTCTACAGGGAAGTTAGCTTCAAAAGCTGTGAAATGTGTATTTGTGGGTTATTCTACTATTCAAATGGGTTATGTCTGTTGGAGCCAGATTGAAAAGAGATTGTTCGTGTGAGTATGGATCCGTCGTTCAGAGAGTTTGAACATACTACACTCTGGACGTAAATTCACCCTTCGATGACTTAAATGACACTAGAGCTATGAGATAAGAGAGAGTGAGTAATATTGGTGATAAAGTGGTTCAAGTGGAGTAATGTCAAGCCCTGTGAATCAACTGAGAAGACAAAAATTGAGGGCTAAAGGTGAGTTAAGGGTGTGTATACACAGAGGAATAAGCAAATTGAGGGAACAGAGTCTGCAATGCCAATAAGTCCCTTGTCCCGATCTTTTCCAACTCTTGAGACACTAATACCACCCACCATTGATTCAAAACTCTTAGGTGATATTATTCTTCCTGTCTACTCCTTCCCTCCAACATAAAGAAAAACCTCCCCCAGCAATGCGAAACATCCTTTTGATCGTTTTGGGTGGGAACTCGACATTAGGAACTTTATTTCTTCTTCTAACATCTCACTTTTGCATGGAGCATTCATTGTATTATTGGACTTCGTCTCTATACCCAAGTGTTGGCAGGGTGATAAAGAGGATCCCAAATGGAAAACGACGTTACATGAAGAGATTGGAGCTCTTGATTAAAACCAAACCTGGGAGATTGTACCACTAACAACAAGGAAGAAGACAAGTAGATGAAAATGAATCTTCACGACAAAGCAAACTCAAAAAAGAAAGGCAGAGAGGTACAAAGTACGACTAATGGCAAAAAGGTACAATCAGACATATGGTATTAACTACGATGAAACATTTGCAATAGTTGCAAATATGAGTACGGTGGGGACACTGACTTCTCTAGCAGTGAATAGTGAATGGAGACTCCACCAACTGGATGTGAAGAATGTTTTTTTTCATAGGGAGCTACTAGAGGAGGTATATCTAGAGATACCAATAGAATTCAATATATCTCAGACAGTGCGCAAGTTTGTGGGCTCAAGAAGTCACTGTATGGCTTGAAACAGTATTCTAGAGCTTGGGTTGACAAGTTTAGAATAGTGATAGTTGACATGGGATATCGACGGATCAATACAGATCACACGGTGCTCTTTCTGCACCATGAATATCAGACTACCATACTTTTTTATGTATGTGGATGACATAATTATCAATAGTGATGATGAGGTAGATATTGCTCAACTTAAGGGAAGATTGAGGAAGCAATTGAGGTAAAAGATATGGGACATCTCATATACTTTCTTAGGATTGAAGTGACCCATGACCTGAAGGGATGGTCCTATTCCAAAGAAAGTATGCACTAGATCTTCTCACGGAGACAAATATGCAGGGGTGCTAACCTGTAATCTCTCCAATTGATCAAAAGGTCAAGTTCAGTATAGAAGCAGGTGAATTAGTTGATCGTGAGAGGCATCAGAGGCTGGTGGGTTGTCTGATCTATCTGTGTCGCACTAGACCTAATATTTTTTTTGCAATAAGTGTGGTGAGCCGCTACATGCATGATCCAAGGAAGGGTTATATGGATGCAATGTATCAGCTTTTGAGGTACCTAAATAGTGCACTGAGGAAATGGATGATATTCAAGAAAAATGGGGTAAATATTAAGAGCTTTTGTGATTCTAACTCGGGTGATTCTAACTCGGCAAGTTGTGCTGATGACATGCCGATCCACATTAAAATACTGCATGTTTGTTGGTGGCAACTTGATCTCATGGAAGAGCAAGAAACAGATAGTTGTAGCAAGATCAACAGCAATGACAGAAGGCAGGGCCATGACATTAGGAGTTGCTGGGATGATGTGGTTAAAAGTCTTGTTGGTTGAACTCAAAGCGGATCAGGGAACTCAAATGATGTTGTGGTGTGACAACAAATCAACATTGCTAACAACCTAGTGCAACATGATAGAACCAAGCATATGGAGATTGATAGGTTCTTCATTAAGGAAAAGTTGAATAACGAACTACTGGAGCTATGGCATGTAGCCACTGGAGAGTAAGTGGTTGACTGCCTCATCAAAGGACTTAGCTCATTAGACTTTTCTTGGTTATGTGACAAGATGGGCTTAGTGAATATCTTTTGCCCATCTTGAGAGGGTGTTGAGATTTGTATCTAATCTAGGAACCTATTTGTAAATAGATGAAGTCTAAAGTTTTATTTGTAAATGTTTTGTACCTTGTGAGGTTCTATATAAGCCCGTCGTCGGTGAAATGAAGGTGGTTTTCTTTTTAGCAATAATTTCTATTATATAAGACATTATTGAAGAAAAGTAGAATTGTTAGTTATATTAACAACCACATGCTAATGTATGTTACACAATCCCCCAATTTTATTTTGAAAAGAAGTTCCATATATATATGAATGTTAAGGCTAGTTTCTATGATTGCATGGATAGACTTGTCCTTGTGTTGACAATTTTAAGGCAAATGATCAACCTGAAATTTCATTTCAAGAATGAAATAACTAGATTTTAAGCAGCCCAATAATGCTGTAAGCTAACTTCTCCTAATAAATTTACATTCACTTATAATTTTATAGCCAAAAAATACATTTAAGCTTCAAATTTTCATATATATTAGCAATTGTCCTTTCATTCTATTCTAGAATATTTGTGATTATAAATTTGAGATGACATATCTGAACTTCAAATATTTTTAATAAAGGTTCTCACTCTTGCTTATTCAACTTTCGCAAGGGAACGTAATTAAAGAAGGTTTAACTAGTGCATACAAAGAAAAAAAATTGAGTGGCTACAGAATGAAAGAATAAGTTAGCTTATGTTATGTTTTTAAAAATTAAAAGACAAAACTTCAAGTTATAAAAACAGAAGAATTTTGATTATGTAATTAAACCTTTGATTGTTGATGATATGCAATCTGATGCTGAATAAATAACCTAAAATAAAATAGGAAAGGATTTGAAGTTAAAAATGAAACAATCACCTTTAATAACGATGATAATGAAGATAGTATTAATAATGAAAAAGGTATTGAATTTGGACCTACTTCTACTTTACGATCATTTAAAAGAAGAAACCAAAGTGAAGCTAAAACTTCAAAACGTTAAAAAAAAAATTTAGTCTGATAGAATACATAATTGCATCATTAATTTGATATTTTAGAATACATAAAAATGTCAATTTAGTCCACATTTTCTTAATACGGGTTGAAATAATCTCTAAAATATCTAAAAAAAGTCCACACATATTTATTTGAGTGGTTTTTAGAACCCTTTATGGTTACTACTACGAGATGTAGTTCAAGTATTTTTGAGCAAAATAAATTGTCAAAAAAAAATTTTATGCACCGTAAATTTTAATACCTTCTGGAACCTTATTTTCCTCCAGTTTTAGCAATAAATCCTAAACCTACTAAATCCCATGGGAAGTAGGATTTGATTTACACTACGTCTCATAAAACCTTTTTTTAATCTTCATTTAATTTCTAAATTTTGAAATTATCCGCCAAACATGTTTCTAGGATTTTACAAGATTTAATATTTATCATGTCAAACAGTTTTTCAGATTTGATACCCTGAGAACCTTTTAATTCTAAATTTTAGATTTGTTAAAACTTTCTTGTAGCAAAATAGCCCCAAGCTGGAGAAGGATCATAGTTGATAGTAAAAGTGAAATGGATTTAATTTGACAAAGTGTTGAAGGAAGATCTATTGAGTAAACTCTATATTTTTGTACAAATATGAAAAAAAATACCTATATTTTTGTAACAAATCATTCACTCAACCTAAAGAATGTAAAACTGTATTGATTTTTACAAATAGAAATATATTGTACACTTTTTTTTTCTCGTGGCAAAATGACTATAATATCGTGTGCTATGATTTGGTCTTAAAGCTTAGTTTGAAATAATTTTAGGTTGAGTGAATGATGCTTACATCATGGAGTTGTTTGAAGTTCCTACATTCTTTGGGATTTTAGATTTTATATTTTCTTTTTCAAAGTTTCCTAACCTTTTCTTGATAATTTTTTTTTTCATTAATCAAAAGAAATACTAGTTATGAAATTCAGTTAATTATAGTATTCCTGTTTGAAACATTCTGTGTCCATTCTTTTTTTTGTATCCATTCTTTTTTTCCAATGAAGCATCTTTTTCTAAGAGTGTCCATGGATTTGTATGAATAAAATTATGTAAACATATAACGGTGTTAGGACAAGATTTTAAAAGGTAAAATTAGAAACTAAAATATTTTGCCCAAGTGAGGCAAGGCATAGGCCTCAAAAACAAATCATAAGATTAAGAATAATTTATAAATATAAAAATAACAACCGACTTTATTTTTTTTGTAATCATAAATAAAAAAACCATAAAAAAAGAGTAAATCTCAATATTCGATATTAATCTATTATAAACATTGAAACGAGGTTGGAGATTAACACTCAAAATTTAAATGTCATAAGGATCAAGATCCATAATGGCTTATTATTCACTTCTGACATACTTAAAAGGGTCATTTTATATAGCAATTCTATCATCCATTGGTTCCATTTCATTAGCACATCAAAATTTTCTTCAATACCTATATTTTTGTCATTACTGTCTCCATCAATTAAAGCAGGATTCAATATAATGTAAGATAAAATATCAA